AAAATACTGATTTGCAGGGAGGAGGCAGGGCTGGCACAGAGAGCATTCATTCAGTCATTCATTCAATCAATCATTTATTCAATCAGTCATTCAATAATTTATTCAATCGTTTATTCAATCAGTCATTCAATCATTTATTCAATCATTTATTCAATCTGGGCAGGTGTTGTTGAGGCACAAGCCTTTCTCAGGTTTCTTCTCTGGCTCTATGGATGCTTTTTGGGGCATTCCAGCATGTTTTTAGTTCCAACTGGATCCCCCCTGAGCCATCAGCACCTTTGAATTTTGTAGCATTTGAGTGCACAACACAACTCTCTCTCCCCCAGGTATTTTCTGAGCCTGCTCTGGCCTCCCAGCACACCCCCAAAAACCAATGAGCATCAGGCAATGAAATATCCAATACAAACTTTCACACCACTTCTGCTAGAGTATTTACCTTCAAAATCCTTCATTTCCAAATCCAGAGGGAAACCCAGGGACAAGATAACCTGGAGGCAACAGAGAAATGCAGAATTTTAGTTCATAAGAACACTGTGCAAGCCAAAAATCAGCCAAAACTAACAGAATGAAAAATGAAACAGCATCAGATAATGACAATTTAACTACAAATGAAGCCATTATTTGAAACTAGATTCCAGTGCTGTGAATGCTCCCAACAGGAACATTCAAGGTGATCACATTCCTAACTCCCATCTAATCATCCTTTGAGATTCTCAGTTCAGAACAGTAAAATTCAGTCACTGTCCCCAGCTCAGGAGTGCCAAACTCCTCACTTTCACCCTGGATTAGGCGAACACACCAGTAACCAGTAATAACCAGTACATGATTATTCTGAGTGATCCTTGACAAGGAGAAATTAAAATCTTTCCTTGACAGGCCTAAAAGTTTGCCAACACTGACAATTCTCAGGCTGGATTTATTTACTTTTTGTTTTCAGTGCACAGCTGTGTGTGAAGTTAAACCCTCAGCTTGTGGCAATGAGGGTACAGAAACACCAGGAATTGTGATCTGGAGATGAGAATTTCTTGGATTTAGCAGAGAATCAAAACTTTAAAACTCTTTAATACAAGAAAACTACAGATTTAACACAATGGAGTTAAGTAGCTCCTTGTCTATATTATTACAGGGAATTTATTTATTTTGATTGAATAAAGCAAGCTGTTCACATTAATGGCTGAGAATTTTTGCAGTGACTCATCTGTGTCAAGTCAGACAAGGCTCAGGACAGAATCCTCCCACTGAAAGATCACACGGAACGGTTAGGGCTTGACTTACCTTCTTATAAAAAAAATAAATTATGTACAGATTAAATATTGACAGCTAGCTTTGAGGTGCTTAATAGAGATTAGATAGTTAATCCATTAGAAAAAAAAAACCTAATAAAATAAATAAACAAACCATAAAGCCTTTCATGGCATTGACCACATCGAGGAGCGAGTCTCTGCCTGTTTTCCCTTTTTATGTCAAGGAAAAACAAAACAAAACAAAAAACTCACAAAAGAAAAAACCAAACAAAGGAACCCTGCAATCCAAACTACCACAAGGCACTCTGAGAGGCTTTGTTGGCATCATCTGGATTAAACCCCTTTTTATCCTACTTAAGGAAACACCTGTTTTCCAGAGAACTGGCTGTGTTACACATTAACTGCCTGCTCAGGGCTCAGCCCTGGGCACGTGTGGGCACAGCTAACGAATGCTGGACATGGTGCCAGCACCACAGGCACCCCTGGCACCTCAGCCCTGTCCCCAGGGAACTCAGCAGAGCCACCAAACTCTGCCTGTGCTCGGCCCTGACGTGGCTCAAGACGGGTTTTTTTATTAATTTCATTTTCTGGCCAATAGTGAAGCATTTAAGACTCACAGAGTGCTAATCCCTGCTGTGGAATCTCTTCCCAAAATTCCCACAGAGCCTGTTTGAAAGTGTTAATTTGCTGTTCAGGGCTGGCACAGAGCTTAGGTTCAGCCCCTGTCTGCAGAGAAATCCATGAAGCAACAGGGAATCATAGATTTGCTCGTGTAAGCCAGGCTTTGAAGGAAAATCTGAAAAATGTGCTTCATTTTGAAGGCTGTCCCTGTCTGCAGGGTCACATCTGATCTCTCTTCTGCTGGCTTGAGTCTGAACACAATTTTTTGTGACAGTTACCTCAGGGAAGGGGTTTCACCCTGGTTTTGGAGCTCCCTCTCCTCACACCTCACGCCCTCCAATGCTGAACCACACTGGGGACTGCCACCAGAACATTTAGAGCTGTGATCTGCAGAAATAATTTCTTTCCCCCCACAGAGCCACTAAAGAATTTCCCTCTGTAACAGCAGGCTGCAAGTACAGTCCTAAAACAGGAATTAAACCCACCCTGGGAAGTCAATTCCTGAACCTTTGCTCAGTCTCCATCTCTCACTGAGATCTTGCCTTGATTTAGAGACACCACCATCAACACTTAATTGTGGTTTTATACTGGCAGCAATTAAAACCATAAAACTTCTCCTACCTGGAGCACTTGGGCATAGCCATAGGTGGCAGCAAGGTGTAAAGCTGACTGCCCTTTGTTGTCCACGGCGTTGACGTCTGCTCCTGCCTGGATCAGGTCGTGGACGATGGCAGCGTGCCTGGCAGTGACAGCCACCAGCAGGGGAGTCTGCAACAGCAGCACAGACAGCTGTGAGAGCCAGCTCAGACAAATCTCAGAGCCTAGGGATGCCCTGGAGCGGCTTCCTGCAACAGAGGCTACACAAGATTAAGAGAATAAAAATGGCTATTTATTAAAGGCCTTTAACAGATACACCTTGGGCAGTCAGAAGCCTCCCAGAGGGTTTTTCAGACAATTTTAAGTGTGGTCCATTTACATATCAGGGGTTAATCCTCCAATTACAGCTTCAGGTAATGAAGTAATTTACCTCCAGTTTGCTCCCCCCCTCACCAAGTCACTTTTGTTTATACTTTTCAGGGCCTGAGACTGTGAGGTGTCCTTCAATTTCAGGCCTGGAGAGAAATTGTTTTGTGTGAATAAAATGGGAGAACAGTAGCTGACAGGCCATGGAGCTTTAGAGTTATACACTAAAGAATTGCAGGATTATAAATATATATTTCTATTAGAAATACAGATTTATATTTTCATAAATATATGAATAATATAAAAGCTAAAATCCTAAGGCATCAGCAGCAGCTGCTGGTGTAAAACAATGAATGGGGAAAGTGCTGGCTGAAATCCCAAGGGCTGTGGTGCCAGGCACGAGCACAGCTCACAGGATGGTTTGGAATCCCACATGGCACCATGAGATGGGGACTTTTCCCAGCTCTTGCTGGACTCCTTCTGGTGTTTCTCAGCCCTTAATTTGGAGGGAAACCCAAACCCAGCATTTTTTAAACCCCGATTGCGTCAGGTACAGAACAAATCAGTTGGCCATAAAACCTTCAGCCTCGGAGACTGCTGCAAACACACAAATAATTTACCAGACCAGTGTTTTCTCACATCACTCCATGAATCATGGGCTGAAAAAAGAATGGCCTCATCCTCATCCCAGTTAATTTATGACCATGCCTCTGGATTTTACAGCCCTGCTCCCAAGTGAGGCCTATCAGTGCCAAGCCTTCCTTGCAGGAGCAGAGGGGCAGAGTTGGATTTTTTAGGGTATCTTGCTGTCAGTCACACCAAGCCTGTTCCCATCCCAAACCCCACTGTCTGCAGGAGAAAATAGCCCCTTATTACCTTTCCTCTGTGTTCCTTGGCATCGAGTCTCCTCAGGGGTTTCATGCGCTCTGCAGCTGCCAGCGTGTGGGCCCTCAGGCCTTTAGCTGCATAAATATGCAGAATTCTAAGACAGTAAATAAAGACACCGGTCACTGATGGACCACGGGGCACGCTGGGAGCAAACAGTTTTACAGGGTAGCACTGCCACTTTTGGGGTTTTACACCCAGAGTTCCACAAATCCATGCCATGAGCCCCAAAAGCTCCCATTCCCACGGGAAGGGCTTCCTACCTCAAACAGCTGCAGTGTCCAAGCCCTCAGCACTCCTGAGCTTTGCCATGCTGCCTCCTTCCCACTTCTGCACCTTCTTGCAGCTGAGATTCGCCACTGGGAGGTGTCAAAGTCCTCCACAATTCCCAGTTTGGGGAATTGTATGTATAAATCGCTTTTTGGGGTGATACAGCTCTGGATATGTTAGTGACACCTCACCATCTGGGGTAACAACCATTCCCTAATTGATATATTTCTAATGTATCAACCTGTTAAACTCCCTAATTGATATATTTGTAATGTATCAACCTGTTAAACTCTAATTTTTATCAAAACTCCTGGTGAGTGAGACCCAGTCCTTATATTTTGCATAAGACAAAGAGTTGTCACAGCCCATGGAAGTGGCTGGTGGCCCTTAGAGATGGGGAAAACACTTCTCTGCTTCACTTCGGTCATCTGGCTCTGGCTGGAGCCACTTCCATTCCCCCAGGTCCTACTTGAAGGAAATTCCAACCCCCAAAACCAGGAGGAGACCACCCCACACACAGTCACACCAACCCCTGGCTTCATTCTGCTCCAGACAGAAATACTTGATTCTTTTCAGGCAGGAGGTGGTGGGCAGTTGTTCCTCTCCTCGGGTAGTTTTGTACCCCAGAGCCACCCCTCGCAATTTCAGGAAGTGGAAATACAATTTTCTGGCTAATCTGATTTTCAGTCAAGCTCAGCATTAGCTGTGGCTGCACACCCACACATCCCCAGGGGTGCCAGGAGAGGGTAACAATGATTGAAGCTGAACTGCAGGAGCAAGGACTGCTGCAGGAAATGCCTCCAAGCCACAGCTGGATCATGGAATTCCTTCTTAGTCTGCTTAACGTGTAAAATTAGCACAAAGTCTGACAGCTATCTCTGGTTCTAGCCTGTACATATATTATTGAACTGATTGATTGCTAAACCAACGCTTGTGGATAGGAAATAAAACACTCTAGGCATAGTAAAGTTACTGTAGATCTTTATTGAAAATAAAAAAGAATTTGTCTTTCTTTTTCTAACCAGAACAACCCAGAAAGAAATGATGAAACAGTTTCATCTTTGTTTTATGTTCACACACAGAATTTACATACATTGGAGTGAAAGGAATTGAAAAGCAATCAGAGCAACCACAAGCTTGATTCACAACTGCTTTATCCCAGTTTTACCTAGGGAATATCTCTGAACTTCATAAAACTGGAGGAAGCAGTGGTGAGTTAAGCTCCTTTGAATTAATTTCTTTGCTGGGTTTTTCTGCAAATACAAGCCACTAATTTCAATGCAAACCTCAACTACTGCTCTTTTCCAACAACTTTGTGATCACTTACATGATCTAGTGCTCGTGTCTTCCACATTTGTCAATATTCAATAAAAAAATACTCTTGGAAAGTCTTTAGGACTTTCAACCTGAGTTTTCAAACCTCACCCAAGCATGAACTGTAAGGCCACTTAAAATATTGCCTGGGTGGCAACTGAACTCCAGGTAATAGAGAGTACAATAAATTATTTTGCAGTTAGTCTTGCAAATAATAAAATCATCTAACAATCCTGGGCTTTAGAAAGCAGAAAAACCCAGAGAAATTGTGTTCACCAGCCAAGAGCCTCTTGTTTGTCAAGAAAACAATAAACAGGGTTTGAAGGGGATGTATCTCCTGAAATATATTTGCCTGTGGCATGGCATTCCTGAGCCTCAACCAAAACATTTACAGTTGCATTGGAGGGAAAAGTGAAGCTACTCATTCTCCAGGAAAGGAAATCAGAAAGCCTTAAAGGAATTGTGTGCACCTCTGGGCCAGGGGAACTTTCCAAGGACAGGTCACTAAAGTTCCCTGGCTCAGCACAGCAGCAGCTTCACACTCAAATGCTCCAGAAAAGCAAAAATATTGCCAAGTAACAGTAATGCCATGGATTCCTTTTGGGCTGCATTCCAGATTCTGGAAAATCCCTGTCTTAATGATCTCCTGATACAGGGCCATGAATTGCAATCCTGACTAAGCCAAAACTCCCAGAGACTTCAGTGGGACAGGATCTGTCCACTGGCAGCATTACCAGCCAGCCACTAAATCAGCCCCACACCTCAAATTTGGATATTTCAGAGCCCAAACCCCTCTGCAGCTAAAAGCCCACGACCCCAGCCCACTGCTCCACACCTGCAGGGCTGGGCTCCAGGGGTAGACATGGTGAGAGCTCCCAGTTACACCTTGGTGTGAATTCTTGCTCTGCAAACAGGGATCTCTGACTGCTCTGGCATTTCGTTCAGCTTTATTTTCAGACTACTGCACCTACCTGCACCAGCACAGCAAAGCTACACTCGACGTTTTCCTGATTGCCAAAGTAGTAGTAAAATTTAGGGGAGAAAAATATCAGTTTAGGCCCTCAAATGTTTTCTAGTGGCCTAAATCTGGTGGGAGTTTCTCCAATGGACAGGTCACAGACACACAAACAAGGCATTTACACAAAAGCAGCCCTATTGAACCGGGTTTGCCAAAATTGAGAGGTAATTTTACCTTCACCAAATGCTACAGCTGGCCTTGGCTACACTGGGATCTGTCAATTTGAGGCCATGAGGGTGAAAATCCCCTTGTGCCGGTGCTGAGCACAAGTGTGCAGCATCCAAACCTGCCTGGGAGAGGCAGCAGGAGCTGGAACAGCAGAGGAATCTTGTGCTGGGCACCAGAACAAAGCAAATTTCACTCAACACACAAATCACGGCGTGCTAAAATTCCCACCCCACCCGCCTGCTTCTCCTCCCTCCTCAAAATCCAACGAGGTGCTGCGAGCAGCATTGAGCATTGAGGCCCCAGATGTGCAACCTAAAGCCCTTCGACAGAGAGAGCACGGCTTAACACGTACGTATCATTGTCTTCATCTTCCAGGAGCAGCTTCTCGATGGGCAGGGCGCCGATGGCTCTCCGGGCATCCTCCAGCTCCTGCGGGGCTGGCTCGGGGATGGAGATGGGCACAGGCACCAGCTGGGGCCCGGGCAGTGAGGAGGAGGCTGCAGGGTACTGCAGGGTGGAGGCTGGCAGGGCAGACAGGGGCTGTGCCCACGGGAAATATGTCAGGGGCGGCTGCTGCTCCGTCACCTCCAGCGGTGGCACCACGGCCGGGGTGGTGCTGCGGGGCTGGAGAGGGGGACAAAAATATAGCAAAGTGAGGCAATCGGCCAGGTGGGGCAGGGGGAGGATGCAGCACAGGCTGGGGATGCTCATCCCACTTCTAAGATCCTCATCCTTCCCCTCTGGGTGAAGCTCTGCGCTGAGGGTGACGCCTGTGCCCAGGTCACGCTCGCCTCAGGCTCCTTCCAGCTTTCTGTTCCCATTCCCACCCTCCCGTGACCCTGTCACACCCTGTGCTGGCAGTGCCCTCTGGACAGTGCCATCTTTGCTGCCACCAAGGCTGGAGGCAGCTCCTTGTGGCCTCTGGAACAGCCCAGGCAGAGCCACATCCCAAAGCCATCCCACGGCCCTTCCTCGGCACTGAAGGACACAGAAATTTGGGGGCTTTTGAGGGGCATTGCTGGGCCTGCCTGAGCAGCCAAACTGAACCAGGGAAAGGAAAATCAGCTGCCCCAGGTCCACTGGAACCTGAATTCTCTGCCCTTCCCCTCTAAAGGGAATCATCTTGTGTCAGCCAAGCATATTTTGTCTGGCCTGAAGCTAAATATTCTACTAGCTTTACATATTTTGACCTTGCTCTTTTATCCTTTAACAGCAGCTTCTGAGAAATTTATTGCCAAGTCATCCTTCCTGCCTCACCTGATCGATGTGCTTCCTGGAACCTCATTGACATTATTTTTTTTAAATTTTAAACGTGGAAATAAAGAGTGACAATCCCTGCTCAGTCTAAAAGAGTGAAGAGAGCTGGGGAAAAGGTTGTGAATTTTGCCTGATTCCAGTACAACCACAACTTTTTGCCCTGCTCAAACCATATAACTGTCCAGGAAATTACATGGCATGGTTGCAAAGACACACAACATGACAGTAATGAAATAAATTAGACTAACTACACCCCACTGCACTTGCTAGAAGGTGAGAATTAACATCATTCACAGCTTGGTGCCTTTGACTTACTGCAAAATTGGTGATGAGAGGCTGGGACGTGTAGGTGAGGACAGAGGAGGGTCCCACCAGGGTGTAGCTGGGACACACAGGCTGCACGTACATATCTGCTGTGTAGGGACAGCCACCAGCCTCGTGGGACACGTACTCAGGGTAAGGGCTCCACTGAGCCAGGGGCTGCAGGGAGCTGGGAGAGGGCTGGGGGATCCATCCGGAGGCCAGAGCTCCTTCCTCTGGGCCAGGCAGAGCAGGGCCAGCAGCGTCCATGTCAATGCAAGGCTGGCCTGGAATAACAGGACAGGATTAAAGCCCCTCTCAGCACAGTCCTCCCTGGAGAGTCACAGAGAGTCGGGGATACATTACCCATGGGTGAGTAGGAAGGGACTGGCTGATGGGGCAAAGCAACCTGCAAGAGAGAAGAAAAAATAAAAATCAGAGGTGGAGCCCATCATTAAATTCAATCACTTAGAGAGGCACAAAGCATAGCAGGCATTATCAGCTGATTATCAATGTCAGGATCTGAATTCTCCCACTCCACACAAGGGCCAGAAGAACTGAACCTGGCAACCAGGACACACCACCCCAAACACCCACAACGTCCCCTCAGCTCAAGGGAACCTTAAAGTGTGTTTAAATCTCCTGTAGCAGAGAGAATTCTCCTTCAGAGAGGAGCCAGCCAAGCTGCTGCCTGCTGGGAGGGCAAATGCAGGCTGAAAAAACCAGCCAGGGATGGCTCTGGGTGGTCTCTTTTAGACTCCTGAACAAGCTGCCTCCCTTCCAAGCCACTTTCAGTCCTGAGGAATCAGATCCTGCCAAGTGCAAAGCACTTTCCCCTTTCCATTAAGTGATGCAAGGTGCTCAGCACACTAAAAGCACCCCACCTGAAGAGATATTTTAATGGCATTGCCAGCATCAGGCTACAGGGCCTTCAAAACACTTTAGAGATGCAAAGGTTTCTTTCACTGGCACAGTATTGCTGGGGCTGGGCAATCACTGAGCTCCTGAGGGAGGATTTTCCCCATGTTTGTTTTTTCCCTACCGTTGTAGCTGCAGTTGCAGCAGAATTATGGATGTTCCCCCTTTTCCTCTTCAGCAACTCCTTCACTGGCTCCTTCACTCTGACACCTTGGTAGGGGCGAGGCTGTGGCTGCTGCTCTGAGGCAGAAGCTGAGAAAAAATAAAATAAAATTTTATTGCAACATTTATTTTCCTTTCAGGGACCCCAGATCCCCACAGCAGCCTGGTGGCTGTACCAGGAACACGTTCGTTTTATTCTTCCTTTCCTTTGTGTCCTTCAGTGCCACTGACCTGCAGGGCAGATTTACACATTCCCAAAAGGAAAACCAGACCAAATATACATAAAAAAGTAGAGATTAGATATTTAAAATAAATATATTCACTGTTTAGGCAGAAGGTATAAAAGCAACACAAATCAGGAAAACATCTTCACTTGGAAAACCATTTAAACATCATTAGTTGGACTTAAATATCTCATTTTGAGATCAGGCAGGTGCTGAAGTCCCAACCTAGACCAGAGCTGTATTTCAGTTCCGAACAGATTTTGCTCATAGCCTGGTCAGGAGGTTGATAAACAGCTGACGACACATCACAGATCTTCCACCCAAAAGCCTCCCAGCTCACACCCATAAATTCTGCTCCATTTTGAAGAATGAAGTTTACAGCCAGATCCAGAAGCCTCTCCCAGGGCCATGTGAGCAGTGAAAGCAGGGGAAGCACAGTTCTGCCAGAGCCAGAATTAACAACTCATATTTTACAGGGAGTGTTTGGAGGGAATTGATAGCAGAAGGAAACCAGGGGATATCAAAGCCTGGTGTTTGTAAAGGCACCGATAGCCTGCCCCTTTCACTGCACTTTGATGTGTAAATACATCAATTGATAAGTTTTCCATTTTTAAAGATTGCAACTGGCCTTTGGTTTTGAGGTACAGGTGGGTATCCAGCTCCAATTGCAGTTTTAAACTCTTATTCCACCCCAGGAGCATTTATTTTGATTCATATCCCACAAGAATGAATCATTTCACCTCAGATCATCTCTCCCAGTCGAATTTAATTCTGTGCACACTGAGATGTTTGTGTTGCACCTTCCTGGGAGGAGAAGAGTGGAGTTCTAAATACAGAGATCATAAATCCACATCAGAAATTACTTAACAGAATAAATGTTTCTGCTCTAATTTCTTTTAAAAAATACTTTTCTCCCTTCAGCTTGGCTCTTTTATTAACTCATTATAAATAATTTAATTATGAAATGTTGATTGGCCACTAGAAATCCTTTTAGGACCAGCCAGAACTCCATTTATGCTCTGAACTGTTGCCTTTGTTATGCACATCAAGGAAATACTTTACTTTTAAATGGTAGTTGAAACAAAGATGATTTTCCAGCCTTTGCCTGATCTACCTTTGCTTTCTGTGGACATCCTTTGTGGCTCTTTAAATCAGGTTTCTTGCATTCCCGTGAATCCTGTGGCTTTCCAAATGCAATTTTAAAAGAGAATAAAGGTTCTTTAAGTCTCCATACAAACATCCATAAGGGCTTTTAATACAATTCACATTTTGCTTTTTAAATTTAATGGGCATTAATTTATTTGAGTGCAAATAATAAAGAGTTCTGGCGCTCTTGGTGCTGCGTGAAAGCATCAACTCCACAAATCTGAGCTCTGCCAGAGCTGCCTGAGTGGCAGAAATGAACATTTTGGGGAGTATCTCATCCCCAACTCATCAAAGGGCCTCCCTGCAGAATTGGGGTGAGGAAGGATGGTGGTTTCTGGCTCCAGGTTTGGGGGGATGGGAAAGAAGAAATTTACTGTAAAAGCTGACAAATATACCTATTCAGAGTTTCCGGTGTAAGCAGAGTAACCCCCCCAAAAAAATAAAAAGAAAAAAAAAATTAAAAACCAAAGTCTGCAGATCATATTTCGGTTCCCCCAAGCTGACCTCCAGAAATAAAAATAATGTGAGCACAGCTGCTTTTCCACTGCTCAGGGGTGTGTGGGGTCTGAGAAGCACAGACAGACCACAGCAAAATGGCTTTGGGGCTTCAGGGTGCAATTCCTCATCGAGCTAAAGATACGTGGTCATTTATCAATATCAGCATTTGGAGGAATAATGACAATTAAAATACCTTGGTAAAGGAAGAGCCTGGATTTAGTCATCCTTATATAAAGGTTTTGACAAACTATGAAGCAGCCTTGGACCAAGATTCCGTTATATTTTGATTTTAGCCTTGAGAGCCCAAGTTCCATTCAATAAAATTAAAGGAATAGCAGCAGTGTCCTGGCTTGTCTCCTGCAATTCCAGCACCCCACATTCTGCTGCTCCTCAGTAGGCACGTTTTGATTTGCACCTACTCTGGGAAGCTGGGGCACTTTGAGACATCTCCAGTCAAGAAAGAAGAGAAGGACTCCAAATCCAAGCACTGGGAAGCTTTGCAGTGGATTCCACATTTTATTTGGGCTCATTTCGACGCCTGGGCCAGGCTGCCTCCCCAGCCCCCAGCTCCCTTCATCAATGTTATCACCTGATGTGTTTGCTGAAAGTCCACAAAAGCCTGGAAGGATTGTGAGCAATCTTTAAAAGAGTCTGCTGAACACCAGAGCTGCTGGAAAGGCACCAAAGGGCTCCGAACGTCGAGTGACAACAGCAAGAAGATTCCAGACCATGCCACAACTCAGCCTGGAAGCCCCCAAAGTGCACAAAAAAGGGATCAACTTATGCAGATACACACCCCTGATTCTCAAAAAACATTGATCTGAGTGCATCAGGCAGAGAAAGCTCGTCAAGACATCGCCAGAAATTCAAAGTCTTTGCTCCCCTCCTTTTTGGTTTAACCATTGCTGAAACCGGAGGGAAGAGAGTGGCAAAACAGCTGCTGGAAGGGTGCAGGCAGCGAAGCGTGGCGAGTTTCAGATCACTAAACTTCACCCCAGCAGCTCTGGCCTTCACACACACACGAGCTGCAGCTCGGTTTCAGCCTTCCAGACAAGGCAGGGCGATTTCCCAGCAGGCAGATTTCAGTTTGAAATACCCTGCCTGCAGCAAGTGTCACACGGGTCCCTCCTGCAGAAGATTTCTGTGCTCACAACTCGTGATAAGCTTATCAATTGATCAGTGTTAACACTGCAAATGGTTTTCCCTTTTTTATTTTTATTTTTTTTTCTCCTTTCACCCTCCACTGTAATAAATAATTGAAAAGAAACACAATGGTTTCTCCTGTTTGCAGTAGCACCAAAAAGCAATCGCTGACTGCAAATAGCAAGAAAAATTGTGATTTCAATTAGCAAACCCCTGAGTTAATGGCCTGGATATTGGAGACCAAATCATGTTTTTATCAGACACAGTGAACTTTGGCTAATTAAAAGAAGAAAGAGGTTTCATTTCATAGGCTTGTCTGCTTAGAGTCAAATCAAAACTTTTTTACTTCCATGCCAATTGCAAGGGTCAAAACATTGGTCATGATCCTGTCTTTATTACCTGGTTAATTACAGAGTTTCCCCTAAAAAACCCAAGGTGATCTTTCTCTGTGCTTTGTGGTCAGTCCAGGACAGGGGAGCAAAGCACTGAAATGCATTTAATTGCCCCAAATCCCAGCCAGTGACATGACAGGGAGTGACTCAGAAATCTTCATTTCAACTCCATCCCTATCCCTCAGCAGCCTTCAGGGTATGTCCTGCTTTTAATTAATATTTTAATTGATCCAACCAACAGTTAAAGGTGAAACACAGCCACGACCCACTTGCAGCTCCAACCCCTGGAAACAAAAATCCAGTTATTTCTGCCAAGATCTGTGTTGGTGGCCACAGGCTGAGGTGGCTGGTGAGCACCAGGTCCCTGGTACCTGATCTAAATTAATTAATACACACCTGACTGATAATTCTCTGGCTGGGCCTGAGAATAAATATCCTCATCAGAGCCAAATAAATCATGAAAACGGAGAAAATGTTTATCTGAGTTCCGTTTGGCCATTTCTTGCTTCATGATCTTTTCATTCCCAAAGGATACATCCCAAAATCCCAGGTTTGCACATCCAGGCCCATTTGAAGGGCTGGACTCGCAGCTTTTTTTCTGTGCTTTTGACACAACCCAAATTTCCCTTGAAGTTATAGAGAACACAAGGAAAATTGGGCTGGAGAGGATTATAATTTATCCTGTTCAACACACTGTGGGTGGATAACTCAATAAAGATTTTGCCAATGCAAAGCACCCACCAAACATCAGGGCAAAAAATCTGCTTTAAGACAAACCCAGCTGGGAGCAGGGGCAAAAAGGGCTGAGTGATGGTTCTCAGCACAAGGAAATGAACTCAGCAAGGTCCTGGGCATAATTCAACATCCTCAATATTTCACCTGCTTATCAACACCTCAGAATCATGTTTGGCTGGGTTTCCTACACTGCATTATAACCACCAAAGTCAGTGAAATATTAATTTGACAGAAGAATATTTTAGATTTATGCCCAAATATCTTCATTTTCAGGTGTTGGAAGATTTTCCAGGAATCAAACCAGCTTTGGATTCAGGCAAATCCATGTGCCTCATGCTGTTCTTGGGGAATGCTTTTGAGAACTGTCCTTTAAAAACTATTTCCTTCATGCCTAAAAGGATCTAAATGAGTGGAGAGCACTGTGCAGAGCCTACATTTTGCTCCCACACAAGGAAGGTATTGCAGATGAACAAATACAGAGCGGATTTTCAATTTTTCCACTTGGATAGAAACCAAAATCAAGAGGAGACACAAAATGCTGGCTAATCCCTGCTGCTCTGGTTATTTTAATAAAATAATATAAACGCTTTCAAGTGCCAAATGAGAGCTGGGAGCCTTGTAGTGGTGAGGGCCACTAAAAATTCTCTGTTTCAGAATAAGAGAAGCCCTGGTGCAAAGGGGAAGCTGAGATAGACAGAAAGTGTCTTTAAACACAAATCTCACCCTCAGGACCTAATTCCTCTCAGCCCATAATACTCTTTCCATTTTAGTAATGCAAGCTTTCCATTTAATTGCTGCTGTGGTCATTTGTAGAGTTTGACACCTGCTTTGCAAAGCATGGATGGGCTCAAACTTTCATGTTATCCCTCTTTCCCGGTGGGGTTTTACCAAAATTATCACTCACAAGGTGCAGAATGTTGCAGTTTCGCTCTCAGTCTCATTAGCTGATACTTTCAGAGTGCCTCTGTGCAGCCCCACATCTGTTGTGGGCAGAAAAGCTTTTCTCTTCACTTTAAAAGGGTTTGGGAAGGGATTTGCAGAGGTGTGAATTCACATCTCTCAGTGGCAAAGGGAATCTGAGCGGCTGAATCTCTGCAGGTGACAGCAACGGGAGCTGAGCACCCAAAAAACTTGGACACGGGCAAAACCAGCCCCTAAAGAGGAGATTCCTGCAGAATTAGCACGAACTAGGCTGGAAAAGACCTTTTTGATGATGAGATCATCAAACCCAAGCTGCTTCCACGCCTCTCAGAACACAAACCATTTGCATGGAAGGGTTATCTTAAAAAATTCACAAGGGAGGTAACAATAAAAACAAATGAGGAGGAAATAGCTGGTGCTGCCCATGAATTTCCCATCCCTGAGGGGCTGCTGGGGCTGCTCCTGTTCAGCAGAATCCTGGGGAGCCCCGACCAGTCACTTCTCGTGGGCCGTGGGAGGGGAGGCTTTCGGGCTGAGCCACCCTCGGGGTTTTGTGTGCAGAGGAGTCACTGTGCCGTGACCTGGGGAACATTCCCAGCCAGGCCAGGCTCCCCAAGCTACGGCAGCAAAGTGTCCCAGCTTTCCTGGTGTTCCTGCAGAAACGTCCCTGAAGGAGCAGGAAGGCAGCCACCCCTGAGAGGTGCCCTGAGAAATGCCCTCAGGTGAGGTCACGGCTGCCGCTCGAGGGAGTTCCTGTGTCACTTGTGGGTTTTCACAGAATATTCTGAGCTGGGAAGGCCCCACCAGGATCATCCACTCTGAAGCGAGTGGCCCGTACAAGGATCGAACCCAAAATCTTGGTGTCATCAGCACCAAATGAGTCAAATCTCAGGGTTTCACTTTGGAAAGTTCCCAGGTCACCTGAGCTGCCTCTGCATCAATTTCTGTTCCAGGGCAAGGCCGCGGGTCCCACGTGGAGCATCCGTGGGGTCACAGGTGGGGCAGGAACGTGAGGTCCCAGCCGCTCACACTGCCAGGAAACAGAGGTGACACCGACTGGGGACTCACTGAGCTGCTGGGAGCTCCAAATTCCCCTGAAACCCGCGGGATCCGGCACCTGGATACCTGCCCTGACCCCAGGGGTCACACAGGGGTCTCCAGGACAATCCCCCAGTCTGCCTTCAAAGCCAACATGGCTTGGAAAACAAGCAGCATTAATCAGATTTCCAACAGTTCCACGCTGGAAAAAGGAATTCTGACAAAAGGAGGGAGATTTGAGGATTAACAAGCTCAGGGGACACTGGCCAGGAGTTGTCTACAAATTATTATCAGCAAATGATTGACATAATTTGACTTGTCATTCCTGCAAAGGAAAATAGTAAAATAAAACCACCAGTTCAGTTCCCAATTTCCTCCTACCCAAAGCAATGTTGTTAGCATTGCTTTGTCAATGCAGGAATAAAAAACCCAACCCAAATAAACCATTCAGGGACTTCAGAGATGGAAGATTAGAATCAGGATTTGGATGTGATCATCCTGCAGTTTTTTCCATGTCTTCTCCTGAAAACTGCTCAAGGTGAAGGAGGAAATACAAATAAAACTTCCCAAATACACATTTGAGCTGCCAAAATGTTCAGCTGAAAAGAAATAAAGCAGGAAAAAACCAAAGGGAATGGATTTCAAAGCTCACAAAGGCACACATTTGGTTTACTACAGGTACTAAAACAAGCTACAAGTGTGATAAAAAGATGAGCAATGTCAGATAAGTCACTGGCAAGGGTTTAAGAAATTAATTTTTCCACTCAGGTGTGTTGTACCATTCTGTGTTAGTGGAACAGCAGGGTGAGAGGCAAAGGGTGGCCAAAATAAGCATCACCTACTGATGACAAATGAGATATGATGGTGATAAGAGTGAGAATGAAAACCTTGCAAGAAACAAACACCTACCTGGAGCAGGATCAGTAAACTACTCCAGCAAAGGTGGGCCCAAAGGAGTGAAATTATCTTGAAAACAAGAAAACTGATTTCCTGTAAAGTCATAACTGTATTGCCCTCAACTGCTTTGTTCCTTATCTTTTTTAATTAGCTGAAAGAAGTACATATAAAAAAAAAAAAAAAGGCACAGAAATAAGATTTCTCACAGGTTTCACTTTTCAAAAGGAAAATTTTCTGCTATGTAACCACATAACCTTTGATATAATACCTGCATCCTGTTATTGTTTTTATGAATCATAGTCTTCCACTTGATTCATAGTGATGAAAGCCAACAAAGCAGCCCTGAGCTCATATCCCTGCTGGAAAATGAGCATCACACCTCAGCTCTGGCCTCTCTTGAGTCATTCCTGAGCATCCCCTCCGCTGCCACTCTCTGCTGACTTTTCCTTCCCAACCCTCAGCTGTCGCCAGAGGTAGGAAAAGCAAATCAGAGCTCACTTACATTTTTGCCAGTGCATTCTGTGGTGGGATGGAGCTTTTTTTCCCCCCTTCTTGGCTGAGGATAACTCGGCTCTGTGCGTGTGTGTGTGGCTCCTGGGTGGGGATGTGACAAGTGAGGGTCAGGATGTTTCTTTCGGCTTTTTAAAAGCGCCGTGTTCCCGCTGAGCCCGGTGACATCATCACCCCTCCAACCACAGCCACTTCTACATTTTCCCTTTGCTCTCTGCTTCTTCTTCTTCTCCTTCTCCTTCCCCATGCTCAGCAGCCCCTGGGAGATGTTCTGCACTTAAAGCTGTCACTGAGATGGGTTTGAGCAATCAAAGGTGGAACCTGCCTCTCCTGGGATTTTCACCTCAAGTTTGCAAAATCAGGGCACAAGGTTGGACAGCAGAAAAAAGTCTTTCAGGAAGATTTTGACCTCTTGTGGCACTAAGGATGATTTTTTTTCCTGACATTCTGCTGCTCTGGATGGCACAACCTTTGTCTTCCCACAGCCAAAGCAGCCCCCAGGCCATGCCTGCCTGGCCCTTTAAATGTGCAACCCTTCTAAAACCCAAAATTTGAGTGTTTGCTCCTGCCTTATGAGAATCTCAACTCCCTGGGGCCACTAAATTTGAACTTGTGAGGAAACACCTGTAAACACTTCAAGCCCCATTAAGCCAGGACGTCCTTCATTTAAAAAAGAAACCCCTTTTTTTTTTTTTTCTGTTTTGTTTTTATCAAAATACAACACTTCCTACCCAGGGAGAAGCTGCCCTTCCAAAAGAGCCTGCAAAGCTGAAGGAAGGTCACAGGAACCTGGAGAAGTTCCTGGCATTAATGACAGCACCAGTACCATCCACACAGTGAGCACAACCCTCTTCCCTCTAAAAATCAGACCTCTGGGATCAATTTTCACAATTAACACTGACTTTGGAGCCTCATTCCCAGAGAAATATTTGTTGGAGCTGCACAGTGAGGTCAAGATTTCATCATTCCCATGGTGCTGTTCAGATTTAATCATTGAACTGCCCCAAAAATTTGCTCTCTCAAATGTATCTTCCCATAAAAATGATCAAAGCATGGATCTGGTGAGGTTTTTGGCCAGAATTCTACTAAAGGAATTTTATGCTTTCAGGTGTTTCAGGCACCTCTTGGGAACAGATCCATTCTGTGAACCATTCCACAACACACCAAACAGCATTTGGTGGGAAAACACAGATTAATCAGATGAATACTTAATTGTACTCACTCTACTTCAAAGACTTGTCCAAAAACCAAAAAGGAAGCAAACCCCAGAGCAAGCAGAGTGGAAAGAATTAAGGGATGTGAGTGTCTGCCTTCCAAAATAGCCCCGACCTCCTCTGTTCTCAGGCACGAGGGCATTGTTCAGCCACATTTTGCATATCTGAATTACTGCTGAGTACCAGCCCCACGCTGGGACATCCTCCCTGCTGCTGAAGTGCTTCGTAACAGCTGATACTGCAAAACCAGACAGGTGGGCTGGGGTTGAACTCCCAGTGAGGCCAGGAAAAGCACTGAGGTTGGTTTCACTGGAATTTCAGCCACTCCAGGGCACAGAGGAACCCTGGACTCTCCTAGCTGTGAGATATCCGTGCTGGGCTTCTCCCTAAACTAATGAAACTCCATTTCAGAACCCCCTACATGTGTAGAATTAAGAAAATGTGCAGCAAATCTCTTCCTGAGAAATTCAACTGGAAAGCCAGAGCTTGAGCACACAGGGAACACTGGGAGAAGTTCTGGAGTTTGGTTGGAGCAAAAGCAGTGCCAGAAGAGGTTGGAAGTGTTCTCTGCTGAAATTTCCTTGTGGAAAGTCTGGATTCTGACAGCACAGAGCTCCTGGGGCAGAGCAAAGCCCAGGATGGAAACCTGGCCACAGATGCAAGAATATCTTTGTCCCTGTTTCCTTTTGCTTTCCTTGTTTCCCACTCCAGTGCTGCATTACACGTTTTTGGTGAAACCCTTTGTGCTTCACCGTCTCGCTTGTTGGAGAGGTTGTGTGGGGAGAAGAATCTCATTGCCATTGATTGCCAGCCTCGAGCTTTCTGTTCCTGGAATATTCACTGCTAGGCAGCCCAGTGAAATCATCATTTAGTAGGATCTGACCGAGTCTGACAAGACAGAGTTGATCATTCTCAGATAAGGGAATTTATTGCTTTTGCTGTTTACCACATCACTTTATTTTCTTCCTAGCTAGCCAGAGCCTGAACTCAAGGGTTCAGGCAGACCCTGGGCTGGTTTTTCTCTCTGAGAAAACCCTCTGTGCACATTTGGGCTCTGCAGAGCAGCAGCAGCACAGGCTGAGATTTGTGTACAGCGGCTCTGGGTGCAGCTGAAGGCAGATTGTTTCACAGCCCAGAGTAAATATACAGCCCCATATTAAAAGAATCGATATGTGCTTATCACCCTGCCCTTAACTGTGCTTTAATTGAGCTCAGAAAAGCTCTGGGTAACATTAAATAACTCAGGATTAAACCGGTTTTGAGGTCTTTACATCGATACTTTAAAAATACGAAGCCAGGCAGATAAGGTCTTATTGTAATAAACATTTAAAATGAGGAAGTTGCAGAAAAGGGGCACATTTTCCTCAGATAAAACTGTTTTGGTGGCTGATAATCTTCCATTTCCATATTTTACACGTGGTTTCTAGATTACCTTTTGATGTTTTTAACAAAGAATCACTCTCCAAAAGTAACTTCAATTGTACATTAAGATAGGAAGGGCCACATCACCCCACACCAAGCAAAATAAAAATATGAGTTTTTCCTCATTTAATGCATTTTATAAATGCAATTTAGTTAAGGACCATTTATTTATGAGGTGCAAATTAAGAGACAAAAGTAGAAAGAAAGATCAAAAACACCATATTTGCCTCTTCCTCTGAAAACTCTCATTCATTATTCAGGTTTATAAATGTGAACGTGAATGATCATAAACTTTAGGTCTATGAATAAGTCTGGAACCCCAAAATTGCTGCAGACCATCCATCCTTCCCTTTTTTTCCGGCAAATCCTTTCTCCATATCCCCCATCCCTCCTGCCACTGCTTCTCCTCAGCAGAGCAGTGCAGATGAGTAGGGTGAAGGCATGGGGAGAAAGCAGATTTTTGGTGATCTTGCAGCTAAGCTCTCTGCAAAAAACATGTTTGTACTCAAAGCTGATGCTGCTCTTAAGGGGAACTAAAACCAAGAGCTGGCCCTGCTCGGCCTGGTCTGGCCCTGCAAGAATTTTGAGTGGCAAATAGAAATATCCAAAGATTTTATATCAATCTGAACTTGAGTTTTGTTCACTCCCTCATCTCTTTGGTGTTGTTTTGCCAGCCCAGCTCCTGGGAATCAGTGATTTTCTCCCCAAAGTGGATTAATGCTGTTGACAGAGGTGCTGGCTGCTGGGTTTTGTTGTTGTTGTGGGGTTTATTTTCCTTTGTTTTTAAACAAGTCAATATTAGCATTTCAGTGCTGCCATACAGCACCAGAGGTAGCAGTATATAAGGAGCAGTTTGATATTTCAGAAAGCTTTGTGCTCTGAAAACACTAACTTTTACCTTTGAGAACACAAAACCTAAATTAATCAGTGGATCTTTGGATGAGTTTAGGAAGAGCCAAACTTAGAAAAGATTCTCATACTCCTTTCTTAATCAACCAAGAGAAAGAATGGGTGAAATGAAAAGCTGAGTCTCATTTAAGGCAACAAAATCTGACACAAGACCGAGAAAGATTTGTTATTTCAGATCACAAATTCTAAAATCTGTGTCTTTACTTTGCAGCTTGATATTGAATATGAAAATATTGCAGGAAACCACCCAGAAGCAGAGCTCAGAGAGCCTGGATGAGTTCCAGCCAGCTGATGGGAATCCCATCCCCTGCTTTAGGAACATCACAGGGTGCCCTGGTGAACTCCCTGCGCACACCCAGAGCTCTGGGCCACCCAAAGCCTCCACCCTCAGCTCCCCTGGAAGGACTCAGAGCAAGGAATTTGTTCTGGAATTGATGAGGTGATTCGACAGCAAAATTGCTTTGCTCCAAATCACATAAGACTAAGAGATAGGAAATTTTTTGTATTTTTTTTGGAGCAGAGGCCAAATTTTGGGGCCAGCCTTGTGGACAAGGTCCTGCTGATCCTGTGCTTCCCAAAAAGTGCATCACCCTTTTTTTTTCACTACCATAATTAACAGTGAAACGAGCGTGGTGCACCGAGCTCCGTTTTGTTGGTTTTTTTTCTTCTTCTTTCGTTTTTTAATACCCATGTCAGCCTCACACCTCCCACTGCACCCTCTGAAACGAGTTCTGATTCATTCCTCAGCTTTGATAAGGAACAAATGATGCAGCCCTGGTGTGTGCTCAGCACTGGAGACGAAGTCCTTGGGCAGAATAAAGCACCAGAGCCCTCTCAGGCAGCCAGGACCCGATCCTGGCACGTTGCTCCAGGGTCATTACGTGGATCTTTTGACACAATAAATTATCCCCTACATCAGGCACAAAGGAAAGTGGGAAACCCTTCAAAACTCTGCCCAAGTGAAGATATTTCTAAACACCCTCAAGAAAACTCGGAGTTCTGGAGTAAAGAGAAAATTAAAAAAAAAAAAAAAATCCAACTCAACCATATTTGTCTGCACTTAGAGAGGTGAGAATTTCCCATCAGCAAGTACTTGTGGGTTTTTTAGCACAAACCAAGTACCAGGAGAGCTTTTTCCAAGATTTTTTATGCTTAGGAGATGACCTGGTCCATTCCTAAACTCCAAGATGCAACTGATTCACCCCCTTCAAAAAAACCCAGACCGACACAGAACAACTTCTTCAAGATTTATGAATATACAAATATTTAAGAATATATCAATATTTATGAACACTGTTTCTAGCGATCACCTCCCTCCTCTCAGCTCTGCCCTGCTCTCCTGCTGCTCACACAGCCCATGCCCAGCAGGGCCTCGGGGATTTATTTCAGTGAATTCTGTGATTCCCTGAGAGGCTCCTAAAGCCCCTGGGCTGAAAGGAGAAGGGGCAGCATCTCTGTAACATCCCCACCTACAGCAGCCCGGTGCTTTCCTGGCTTCCAGAGCCTGTGCTCACCAACCAACACGGGGCAAAGCACC